TTTTTATAAGCTGGTCTATTAAATTACAAAATATGAATTTAAACTTCAATATTTTGATAAAAAAAAAGTTCACATTAATTAATGCGTCGACCTGCACACCGACTTGGCATTCAAATTCACAATTCAGAGTGGTCTGAATCTACATTCGACGTGAGCTCCGATTAAAAAAAATCAGTCAGTCAAACACGCTGTTCCGAACTCTCTAGCTCGTTTTTGATATTGCGGGCGTACACGGTTCAGTATGTAAAAATCTCGGCTCTTTTCAAACACTGCATATTATAGAGTATAAAGTATCCACAACACGGCACGTGAACCTGTTTGAGCCGCAGAGAGCTTTCGGTTCGTTCGCCTGATGGGTTGAACAATCACTAATGTATGCGACGTGGAAGGCCGAAAACAAATGAAGTAAAAAGCGGTCGGTAAATTACGACCGGCGGGCATCGATATGAAAATATACGTATTATATACGACACGAAAAATCGCACGAAACTATTTTCTGCACGGCTGCGCCAAAATTTATATATTGTAAAATTATATCGGCAGCAATTTGAGCCGGGACTTTCTAGCGTGCTCGGTCTCCTTTTTTCCGAGACGAGAGAATAATTTATAAAAGGCTGTAAAATATTTATTAAAAGCCACTCGGCAGTCTCGATTTCGAAATAATAAAATGAGATTTTTTCTCCGGCGGAGGGAAATTATTATAATGACCAGCAGGAGTTGTTTTATAGCCCGAAAGTTGTAAATACTTTTTGTCTCTGGTCCCGGGATTGGAATTTAAAGTGGATGAGAGTCTTTCATTTGCTCACTTGAAACAGCTCTTTCCTTTCATCCCGCCCATAAAGAGACTCGTCGAGTTTATTGTTTTTAATAATACGCTCGTGACTGAAAAGCAGCTTCATTAGCGCCGCCGCGTATTCGAATTCGGTCCGGAGTAAAATAACAAAATGATGTCATGCCCATCACATATATACAAACCAACTCAAACAAAAATCATAACCTCGTGACCCTAATTATGGAAAACGGTCGAGCGTGCATCGCTTGAAAAATTCTCGTTGGGCCGCGGCCAAGAGTTGCGGCGGGCAAAGGGGGCACCCCCGCAATCGCTCCAACTGTCAGGAGCTGTCAGCGAGATTCGCCGCAAAAACCGGCCTCGCCTTTTTCCAGTGTCGCCGCCGCCGCTAAAAAGCAATTTTAGAGAGTTCGCGGAAAGACCGGGCTTCATTATAACACTTCTCGCGCTGATCGTATCTTGCCCTCGTGAATGCTCATTTGCATATTATTAGAGGGAAAATGGAATTGCCAAAAGAAATGGTCTCGCGCTTCGGGATTAAATTTAGTTTGTTGGTTTTTAAAGGTTGTACATGTTGTAAGCCACGGGGATTAAAATTGAATAGTTTCGAGTCGTGTTCATTATTTCCTCAAAACCTTAATTTTGCACACAATTAAAAATTACCACGGGATATAGAAATTCAGATTTTATACATTTATTTAGTTGGAAAGAAGTGAAAGTTATTTTTTGTTTCTTATTTGATTGGATATTTAAATTAAATTGAATCAGACTTATGAAAAAACTTCTTAAGTAACTACAATAAAAAAAATTCAGTACTCTCTGCAAGGCATGAAGCGTTTAATAGTTTCAATGATTGAGAGTAAGAATTGAATCCATCTCATCAAACAGCTTTTCCAATTTCGCCGAGCACAAAGCGAACTCTTTACAAGAAGTAAGATCTCAGCACTATAACTTCCTCTGAAGATATTCAGTATACATATTAATCCTTAATCAAATTTAAACTTTTCCAATTAAACGCAACTTCGCTTCCATTTCCCTTTCTTCTGCCTGATTATTTCTCTTTTCTCTCCGATCAACAGATCTATATGCAACCCGCCTCTCTCTTTTCCTCTCAAATCATTTTCGTGACAAGTTCCCTCTTTCCTTCAGCTGATCAAAAGATTTGAGATAGGAAATAATTTAGATGAGTTTCTTGTGTGTGAAAAGCTGCTAAGTTCGTTAGTGTGGCGTAATTGCACGCTCACATCAGCGGACACAATGGAGGCGTGAATTAATTAATTACCCAGCAGCAGCCTAACCAACCGCGGCCATTATTTCACACACACACTGCCTGCTGTCCAGAGCCACTGATACACATGTAAAACGCGCCCCACGCAGCCGACACAATATTATTTCCTTAATTAACCGCCGGCGCAGCGTCCTAATTTATTTTTAACTTAATTACGCGCGGACGAAAAACGAAATTTATTATCCGCCGACCCGCCCTACCTGAGTAAATTTCCTATATTTATTAATGGCTGCACATCTATATATCGGAATGTAATGTGGCTCTTTGGGATTAAGGTGCGGGGAACATCCATTAAAGCCGCTTAATTTGGTCACGAACCGTGTCAGCTCTGCGCCTCTCGAAATGAGAAAAAAGACGGAGGCCGAGTTGACACTTCTCGCAGCTGCCTCTCCAGAGGTCACACCGGGGGTCGCCTCGATATTATTCTTTAAGGTCATTTTCCCCGGGCCGGCCAGACCACTAATCAAAAGGGAAAGCCGCCTGTAGTTGCTAATAAAAAGTGCCGCCGGCCGCCGCACGGGGAGGAACTCGATCATCGACTATTGATCCTGCTGCTTTTTGTACTCGCGGTGTCACAATCTCCGAGGAATTTTACGGCGTCGTTGCGGAGAAAATAATGTGTCGCTTGCGTCCTACGGCTTTAATTAAAGAGACCTGTGACGCCGAGGTGTTTTATTAGACATTGTTATGAAAATTAAAATATAAATCTTGCGCTCGGAGGTTTAATAAATTTGGCACGCGGAACAATGGAGAACTCTTTTTCAAAGGGGTCCGTGATAATGGAGGTCCTATTACCGGATTGACATTACACCGCCAGCTCGAAAAGGTTGATAAATGTCACTGTTAGAGTAGAGGTGCATGCCGTGGAATGGAGCTTGATCGGTATCTCCGGCTTCTTTAACAAAAAGCTCAGAATTTCCTTTCAAACTCTCACAAGTCAAAGAAAGGCCACATTTATTTTTGTTGTCATTTCAAAAAATGGAAAATGTTCGAAAAATTGAACAAAATTAAAATTTAATTGTAAATTGTTGTGCTTCGAGACAACATTAAATAATAAATATAATAATTAACCAAAAAAATTGTCTATCATTAAAAGTCTAAAAATCAAACTAATTTTTTTCATTCTTGTTGTAAAATTTCACGATCGAGGATTGATATGGTTATATGAATTAAAATTCAGCTTTTTTAAAGTGCATTTCCACAAAAATATCTTTCACCTGAAAAACCAAACGAAAAATTTTAGTCTTCTCTCGACCCCCACCGAGAAAGGTACGCTCAAAACATATATTTCTCTATTCTGACCAAAATTATAATATAAAAATTAAATGTGTACAAATATTTCCAAACAAAAAGTCTTTTTGAAAAATTATTTGGTGAAAAAAATCGTAAATGTAAAGAATTTTTGAGAAAAAATTGATAATTTGATGAAAACACTTTTATAAAATTGATTTTTGCACATATTCTTGTCAAAATTATTTCACAGCTCATGAGCCTGCAGCTGAATCTTGTAAAGCAGGATATTGTTTTATTCTTAACCAATAAACAACTCACAAAACCCATCAAGGGAAAGCTGACTTTAAATTCAAATTAAATTCAATTTTAATTCAAATTTAAATGGGGCGCGTTGCAATGAATGAGTCACTACATCGTGGCAACGCTTCATAAGTCAATAAAGATCAATAATAATCACCATAATTTTTGTTATATTTCTCAACAATAATAGTAGAAATAATTATAAAATATCAAATTACCACAAAAGCAAACAATAATTATCTCACATTTCCCAAGCCAAAAGCCAACAAGGAAGGGTCACACATACAACATGATAATTAATTTTATTAACCCCTCGTTGCAGGTAAGCGTGACGCATTATCCTCATTGGAAAAGCAAACAAAATGCGCTCCAGCGAGTTTGGTTCGGGACCAGCCGCACAACCCCTTTGTGAAAACGCGTATTCCTTTTTTTTCACCGTTTTGTTGTTTCACGAGCTCCTCTCTTTTTTTCCCTTTTCACTCTCTCGCTCTTAGTTGTTCATAAAACAAACAGCGCATTAACCAGAAAACACTAAATTTCCGAAAGAAACTTGCACTGCCGGTGCTAAAAGCTTTACGGCCGGCCGGCTATTCATTTCTCTTCTCGCTCACTCTTTTGTTTCCCTCCAGTTAAAATGAGCCTTTAAAACGCAACGCATCGGCAGGTCGCACACACAATAATCAAGTCTTTATAACGCAATTTTTAATCCTTCCACTGAAATACTGCACGCGGCCGTTGTAGAATTTAATGAATGCATTTTCCAGCCGAGCTGCTTTATTAAAGTTGTAAATGCACTTCTGTGTTTTGTTTAAAACATGCCGTGTCGACAAAGAAGCTCTCTTAAGAAGAAAAAAAACTCGGAGAGAATGCGCGCCGGTGGAGTTTTTCTCAAATATTTGTTTAAAAGGAATGCAAGCTAAACATGGTTTTAACATATTTAGTGTTTAAACAAGTGGAATTCAAGAAGAGAGGCCACTTTTTATCAACTCGGGATTCCTCTAATTGCTTTTAGAACGGTTAAAAAGACGCACTCTCGAGAGATTATCGTCGTCACGAGCCATCTGCTCTTGAAAATTCGCCCGACAGAGAAAGAAATCTCATTCCAATCTTCTTCTTCTTCTTTTATTAAGCAATTTCCGGGTAAAAAGCAAACAAGTCGACCACTCGCTGATGAGGCAATAATTAACCGCGATAAAATCAGTCATTATGAGTTGGAAATTTCAATTTGATACCGCACGGACTGGCCAACAAGATTTTAATTAAAACGGCTCACGACCTGCGCCTGCTTTCTCCCCAGATCCGATATGAAATTTATATTAAAAATTACAAACTATATAAAATTATAATCTCCGATCGAAGCGTGCAATAATTAAAAGTGGCGGTACTCACATGCAACCTTCAGCTTGGCGGGCCTGCTTTTGACGTGGCCCCTGCTGGACATGGCGATGCACAAGCACTCGAACGAGGCGCCGAAATACTCTTCGACGTGGTCCCTCGTGATGTTCACCGTTGCTTCGATGGTTCGCGTGCCGGTCATCGGATCCACGATGTGGTGCTGATTCTGCTCCGTCAGAGAGTCATCCGCTCCCTCGCCGTTGCACTCAAAATGAACCTAAAAAATTAATTAATTAACGTTTTAAGCTTTTTAATTTTTTATGTTATTTTATATTACTTATCTAAATTTTTTTTTATTATTTGTATTTAAATTTAATTAGTTTTTATTTATTTAAACAATAAATATTTTATTAAAAAACATTGTAATGCTTCATTTACTTCAATATACGTTTTATACTAAAAATTAATTTACATTTTTGTGATATTTTTAATGTTATTACAATTATAATTCTTATCACTAGAGGAAAACAACAAGATGTTTAAATTTTAGCAAGAAATACAGACTGCACGATGCCTTCGTCTTCCTTTCAGTTTCCTGTGCAAATTGATGAAGCCGCAAGGCTCATATTTAATATTTGAAAGCCAAATAATATATAAATACAATTACAAAAGTAATATATAATATTAATATAATAATAATGAAGCTCAATCTATTCAATTCAATTCATTTTATTTCTCCACAACAACTCAAAGCATCTGAGTCAAAAAATTTACATTACGGAGAAATCTCATTTTAGTATTGCAGCACTACCATTTTTAATTTCCTTATATATTGTGTGGAACAGGAAAGAAAACTATGGTCTCACTAGAAAAAAAAACAGAAATTGAATAGTTTCAGCACTCAGAATGATAATAATTTTGATAAGAGTGTTAAGTTGTTAAAGAATAATCTTAATATCTTAATTTTTTCCAATATTTAGCAGAGTTTATTCCTCTAACTTATCCCCTGCACTAGAATGGTGCGAGGGTTTTTGTTGCGATACATATTTTTTTTTTAATTTTCATCAAATTTTGCAAGCTAGAAAATCAAAACTTTATGAAAATGGAAATGTAGAGATCGGGCTTTTCCTCTTTTCAAAAATTGTACTTGAATTTGTTGGTTTAAATATTTCAATTTTTATGTTAAAATGGTTAAAATGTGGTGTTTTTTTCAATTTTGTTAATTGTTTTTTTTCTTGCTCATGAAATCGGGTCGCAGACAGTGGCCGAAACTGGTAGAGCCGTCTTGTTTTTTTTTTTTTTTTTTTTTTTTTTTTTTTTTTTTTTTTTTTAATAAAAACAATTTTTGCAACGAGGAAAAGCCCGATCGCTTCATTTCCATGATCATTTCCTGAAGTGTCAATTTCTTCAAATAAAAAAAAATCTGTATGATTGGAAAATTAAAGAATTTCAACTGTTTTTGTTGGAATAAATACCAAATTAAATCCCATCAGAAACGTAACAAATGGGAATAAAGCGACCACATGGTAGTGCCTGATAAGTTTTTTGCACGATCCGCGCTCGGGTCACGCGCGCTGCACGCCGGCCGAAAATTATGCTCGCAATAACGTTAATTCATGCTCTTGAAAATTTTCATAACTCAGCATGACCGCATCCAGCAGCGCCGCATAAGTAATCGCAATAATAATAATAATGCTGCGATGGAATATAATATTGCCCTCGCTCGCAGCACACATTGTGTGCAATTTACGATTATGTGCGCGCGAGATGTGTCACCATGACGCGAGCTGGAGCGAATATATTTCATCGGGACAGAGGAGCATCATTTATGCACAGGCTGCGCGCAAAAAAGCTTGGTTGGAATTTCGACGGAGCATATCCTACACACAGCTAGGGGCGAGTGAACAGAAGAGCCACCGTGTGCTGGAATTCGTCTGCCAATGCGAAATCCCCTGAATGGCGTGTGTGTGCATCTCGCGTAAGCAGGCATTGAACCGCGGGCAGATGGATTTTATTCGAGCCACAAAAATATTCCACATGCCAGCAAAAAAAAAGAGTTCTCCCAAAATTAATTACGGCTTGGAAAGAAAATTCATTTAAATTAACAAAATAAAACTATTCAAATTAAGGAGGATTCCCTACTAAAATAATAAAAAAATTAAATAAAATTAAAATTTAAACAGCCAAATTGATTTTCATGATTTATAATTGGTTTTAAGATTATTTTCCTAAGAAATAAGAAGAATTAAGCAACTGATTTTTTTTTCAAATTGTTTTCTTGAATCATTTTATTATTTTTGTGGTAGAATTTCACAATCGAGGGTTGATTCATGGTGATTTGAATTTAAAATCGGAAAAAATATTTTGAATTAAATGTCAAATTTTGTGTTTTCACAAAATAGTGAAGAAATGTTAATTTAAATAATTTTGCACGGAAAATTTTCAATTTGAAAGAAAAATAATTTTTGAAAAAAGATTTATTTTTGTACTAATTTTTGTCAAAATGTTTTCGCAGCTCATGAATTATGGCTGCAGCCCGCAGCCGAAACATGTAGAGCAGGATATTGTTTTTCTGAAACAATAAAAAACTCACAAAAACCCATCGAGGAAAAGCCGATTTTAAATTGAAATCACCAAAAAACATTTTATTACTATTATTATTGTTGTTTCTTTGTCCAAATGTTTGCATTAAATTGTTCATATTCTACTGCTGGAATCAATTTATTTGAAAAGAAAGAAAGTTTTGGACAAAATGTCACCACCACTAGCAAAAATATTGCTATAACTTCCAAGATATAAACGATCCCATTTAATAAAAATTTAATTAAATCAGGCTTATATCACCCAAATTAAAATCGGAAAAAATAAATTACTACCATGACTTCCAAATTTAATTAACATGTATCAATTTTGTGGGAATTATTTTAGTTTAGATACCATAATTACAATAATATTGCATCCTCTTTAATTTTAATTTTACATTAATTTCAGCATCTTTTAATTTAAGCGTTAAATAATGAACAAAATTATCTTCTTTTAAATCAAATTAATCTATTTCGTGAGTTTGATATTTATAACTGCTTTGAAAATAATTGGTGCGATCGAAATCCACAATCCTTTCTCTATCGGCTGCTCTTTCTCCAGCTCCCGCTGTGTGCAGAATCGATTGACACACATTTGCCGAAAATGCGCGACAATTCCCGCGGCAATTTCTCTCGTGTCATTAGCATTTACGTCCTGACCGAGCTTCGAGAGTCATGATATTGAAAAGCTGCTCGAGCGCGGCAATAAAACCGCCCAACGTTTCATTCGGGCCTGTCAAGGCGCGCACATATATGGCCATTTTTTCGGCCTCCTTTCTCTAATTACCGATTCAATTTCACGGTCAGCCAGCAAACCGATCGATCCCGGCTCAATAATTGAATTTCGACCCACGCGTGTCAAATTAAAATATTTATTTCTTTAAACGTGGTAAAAATATATTTAAAAATGACTCACGTTGAGGGCGTGGGCGGCGCGACACACGAGGGTTGCCGGTTTGTTTTTGATGACGTAGGTGTCGATGGGTTCCTCGAGGAAGACGGGCAGTGACACCGCCGGGTGGTGGTCGCCGGTCAGCGACGGCGCCACCGAAGGACTGGACGGCGCCAGGTGGTGCTCGTGTTCCTCCTCGTAGTCCTCCTCCAGTTCGTCCTCCTCCTCTTCAGTGTGCGATTTCATGCCTGGCAACAGCAAACTGTCCATGTTCTGGGCGCCGCTGTCGTGGTGCATCAGCAGCTCACCGTCCTCTTCTGAAACAACATTCAAAATTCGATTATTTTAAATTGATTAATTAGTCGTCAAAAAAGCCCCTCTCGTAAATTAAAAAAAAAATAATAATAATTGTGCTCAAAATAAAATGAAATGATGACATTGTGGTGATACAATAATATTTAAGTTTTTAAATTGTAAAAAAATCATTATTATCTTATAAATAATACCATTTACATTAAATGAAAAAGCGTTAACGAGATATGTATGCAATACTTTCAACTTGTAATTGGTAATTCATGCTCACAATATATAATATTATGTTTTTTTTTAATTTACAAGATTATTCAAAAATAGAGATTTCCAAACAACAAAAGCTGCACAAAATAAAAATATTTAAAAAAGGTTTTATTTAAATATCAAGGTAATTAAAAAAAAAAAACGTAAAAATTATAAAAATAATACATCTTTAAAATGTTTAATCTTATATAAATAATTAATATTAACTTTTGATTACTTACAAGTTGTTTTAGATTTTTATTATTGCTATTTATACATAATACAAAATCTATTTATTTATCTTATCCCCACTCTAAAGCAATAAATTAATTTTGACCGAGGTGGAGCGCTTGTTGAGAGATTGTTTTGATTAAAATTATGAATTACAATGAGCACGTGTGGGAGACAAACACGCTCGAATGGACGATATAAAGGCGAGGCTGCTGCGAGAAAAGATCTACATGTTTAATACATCATAAAATTTAGTCCACAGGCACCTTGTTGTTTTCCTGGTGCCGAATCAGAGCCTCGGTTTTTTTTCTGGTCGTTAAGCATCTCGCGTTTGATTTTAGTGCGCGACAAGACGTCTCGGATTGACATCTCGCCGCGGATTTATTCAAATTTTATTCCACTCCTACGGGCGAAATTCGCGCCGACCCGAAAACGGTTCAAAGGAGTTCAACGGAGCTCGTCGGAAATGGCTTGTTATTGGCTGTGTAAACTAATAATATAAATTGTGCGCGATCATTTGCAATTCAATGTGGAGAAAGAAACTTTTCGTTCATCTCGTGCTGCAGGGAAATGTTCGCGTTTTGCCAAGCCGATCGGCGCCGCCGTTTGTTTCATGCAAAATTTATCAGCAGACGCCGTCGACCGTGAAAAGTTTCGAAACGCTCAACAACTTGGAATTTATTGTCGTAGGCGCGCTTTTCGCGAAACCCGTCGATTTTCTGCTGGAGATCATTCAAATGCTAAACAAATCTCCCCCAAGAAAGTTTGCTGGAAAAATAAGGTCACCTTTATTTGTCCGAAAGCAAAAATATTCATTTTTTCAATTTAAAATTTTGTATTGACCGAGGAGAATAAATAATAAAAAAAATAAAATGTTAAAATTTAAAATCTTATTTATCTAAATTATTATTTTGTTTTGTACATTTTGAGTGCGAGAAAGTGGATTTGTTTAAAAAAATTCAAACCACACATCATATCAATAACCAAAAACTAAAAAAAAAAATTATCAATGAAATTACACATTTTTTCTTTGTTCTTTGTTATTATGATATGTGCATGCAATAATAATAAAAATAATTTTGGATTTTTTTTTCGTGTAAGAACAAGTAGCATGAATATCTTTTTTCTCATTTAGTAAATAATTAAATAGTTAAAGTCCGCTTCTTATGACTGATTTTTCGCAAACGGCAGGAATAATAGATGCACATTTTTCTTTGGTATTTTTAATACCAACATTTTGGAATTCATTTGGCAAATAATTAAAATAAATTCTGCCCGGGTGATTTACTTTTGGGCAAAGTAGGGATTCCCCCTTGAAATAAACGCAACTTGGAAGGGCTGTTGAGCACCAAAATATGCTAATCGGCGAATTTTGCAGACGAGAAGCCGTTTTGCAGCGGCTGGAAAAGGGAAGCGCGTTGTGTACAAACTCGCTGTGCTCTCGTCGGCGTAACAACATGAAAGAGCGCGAGAGAGCGAAATGAAGCCGCATGCTTTATTGACATGCCGCGCCTACGAGAAGCACCTTTGCCTCGAAATTCGCGCACATAATTTTTGCGAGGTGCAACTTTGAAGTGGCGCGCTGCAGGAAATTAATTAATTCATACGGCAAACACGTAGCTTGCATGCCTCCCTCTCATCATCTTTATTAAGCCCAACTCAGCTCAAGGCGCTGCAAAAGCAGAGCACGAGGTCGCGAACCGACGCACCACACCAGATCTGCAGCCAAGTGCATGACATCAAAAGAGACGACGGTATATATGTAATTAATCAAGTTTCGCCAACTGATGGCTCAGATCGACGCCGCAGATCGCTTTAATCTGAAGCAATGCAATTCATCATTAATTTAGACTCTCGCGGGAGAAGCCGCGGCATCAGATGTTTTGACGCAAACACACGGCTCGACGTTATTAGCGAGCACATGCACCGATACACAGCACATCAAAAGTTGCGATTTCAGCATCAAACTGCTGACGCCGTGTGCTCCAGTTAATTTGATCAATAAGGGTACCGGGGATGAAATATGCATAGAATGCCAATGGATTCAGCCAGATTTCAGCTGCTCATATGATGATTATTATTATATAGCAACCGCACAAATATAAAAAAATATGATTTCTTCTCCTTTTTAATATTTTATATTAAAATCAAGAATTGAGAAAAGATTTTATACGATTTTTCTTAATCATGATGATTGATTCTATAATTTTTATATGAAAAAATTTCTTCTATCTGCAAAATATATGATCATTTTAATAAATGTCAGCTTGGTAGGAATATTATGTAACGAGAAACAAGTAAAAAAATTAAATTTCATGGAAAAAAGTTTTTCTTTACGGTGAAATTGGCTTGCATTAATATTTATTTCATATCTCCTGTATTTATTTCGCTAAAGTCACGTGAAATTGCAAAAAAAAAGATATAAATTATTGTTGTTAATTTGTTACACCACATTGTTTACACTCAACTGCTGAAAACAATTTATTTGAAAAGGAAAGTAATTGTTGGAGCAAAACGGCACCATACTTCTAGCAACAATTTTCCTAAAAATAAAACAAAAATAATAGTTTTTTGAGAATTTAAAACCCAAAGAAACCACTTGAAACGGGAAATAATTCAATTAGTACTAGCTGTGACTAATCGCCTTGACGTGGAAAACCGTTCCGAGACAACGAGATATTTGAGATGAAGCCGGTGTAAAAAGTTCCTGTTGTGATAATAAACAATTTTAATTGAGGGCAAAAATTTCCCAAAATTAAAATTGTTTATTATTACAACAGGAATTTTTCTAACTTTTTTACACCGGCTTTGTCTCAAATATCTCGTTGTCTCGGAACGTAATTCCACGTCACAGTACTAATTTAAAAATAATAATATTTTTATTATTCTTAAATTGAAAAGACAATGAAATTAGAAGCTCTAGTTTGGTGAATATTTTTATTTTACATTGGGAATTATGATGTAAGCTTCTCAATAAATATTTCAACCCGTTGGGCTTCGAAAGTGGAACGCATATGTGATGTCCGTGAGCGTGCAGCGGTCCCCTGCTTTTGAGCACTCTCTGCGGAATTGCACGACAGCAATATGGGCTGCCGCGGGGCTCATAACAGCGGGTCATTTATCATTTCTGCAGCAGTCAATACCAATGGATGGCTAACCGATGTCACAACACTTGGCCCAAAAGCCGCTCCGAGTGACAAATTCCCGTCGATATCAGATTCAAATTGGATCAAAACTTCACTCCCGCGCCTGCCAACCTGCTGCAGCTGCAGAAAGAGTTTTATTTTCCCACGATGAGCAGCGAAGGGGTTCAAAGCGAAATTAGAGCCGATGCTGGTGACGTCATGATTATTCAATGATGTTGTCACAATGGGCAGGAAAAAGAGAGGGACATTTTTTTCGAGTTGCTTCTTTATATTCACCGAGACAAAACACAGGCAAAGGGGACACGACGGATCGGATTTCGAAACCACCCTCTCTAGAAAATCCCATCACATGAGCGTGCACTTTTCCTCCTCCCACTCTGCACGTGTAATTTTCTTTTATTTTTGAAAGTACTGTGTGTGTGTGATGTGGCCTTTCGACGATAAATTACAGTGGAGCAATTATTCTTCCGCTGAAAGGACGACGCAACAGCACAGCGTGGCAATTTGGGGTGAACAACCCTGCTGCTGCCATCCCCATTAGATCTCTATTCACTCTCCGAGCCCGAATTCACTGCCCCCGAAAAGAAAACAAAAGAGACGACTTTCGAATTTAAAGACCGCGCGCGCTATCATTAGTTCCACTGCTAATTTAGGGGCTGACCGTTGCCACCCCTTCAATGAAGAGGGAGTTCGATCTCTTCGCTGAAGTAGATTCGTGCAAACGGCGCGCACGGATTAACGGGTGCGAAATTCCAGCAGCAAAGTCGTAAATCCGACCGTCCGTCTTTCTCTCTCGAGATCAGGCGAGAGATAAAATCGCAGGCCCGGCTTTTGGAGAGACTCGTGGCTTTTGCGGCTTCATTAGTGGCGCTTCGGTTACGCGCAGTGTGATTTAATTATTTTAAGAGAAGCGACGGGAAATGAATTCAAAGCCGCAAAAAGTAAAGAGCTTGAAGCGCTTCTTCACGTGTGTATAATTTTTCGTGCAAGCAGTTTCGAATTTCAATCTGGTGGGCAAAAAAAAAATCAGGAAAACTCGTGCGCCGATTTCGCGTCTAATTAACGATTCAGTCGCGAAACATCCGCAACGGCAGCCGAGGAATTTTTTCGATCGGGCGACGCAGATAGAGAGAGACGAGCTGCCGGAGAGGGTAAAAAAATCGGAGCGAATGGAACGCGACGCGCCGTTCAATCAAGAGCCAGAGCCGGCCTACCATTAATGAAGGGCTAATTAAGAGTGACATAATAAAAATTTCAATCTCGACGGCGGATGACAACGCAGCACAGGCAGAGAGAGAGAAAGAAAGTTCTGAAGAGTGCAGATTAAAAAAAAATTGAGTGCTGCACGCACGTGAAGTTCCGATTCATGCAAAAGAGCGAAGTCCAAAAAGGAGATTTTTTAAACACTATTGATTAATACTTATATAAATATAACGAATTATAATACTGCTGTAATATTTTAATATTCGCAGTAAAAGCCTTGAAAAAATCAAGTTGTACACGTAAAGTAAATTCAAATTTCTTCATTTATTTTCCGATAAGCTCATCGCAGAAATAAATTTAAGCGTTTTCTTCTCTCACTTTATTTTAGTCTATTAATAATCACCCTTGAATTATATCTTTGATGTATTTCGATATATGATATATATGTGGTGCAATAATAAACATTTTTTTGCCATACTTAAACGTTTATGTTTATAAAATTAAATAATTATATATAACTATAAAAATTAATAACAACAGTTTGTTAAAATGTGAATCACAACTTTTTTTTTCCATAGTTTTATTAAAATTTAAAACTTTTTAATTCATAAATTAAATTAATTGATTGTTTAATTGATTTGTCAGTTTCGTTGTTTCGTTTTTTAAACATCAGAGTGTAGCAGTGCGTTTAGGTAATAACAGTTTTAATTTTAGTAAAATATTTATTTACTAGTTCTTAACAAAGCGATTTTTCAAATTAAATTTGATTAAATACTGCAATCTTTCCCAGCCACCTCTTTGATACATTGATTTTAAATTATAACTTAAATTAGTATAGAACATATGCTCCTAAATGAAAAAAAAAATCTGTTGGCAATATGCAGTCCGCATTATATTATAATGGTATTAAATTCTTATTGAAAATGACAATGTCTCTCTATTTGATTGAATATATTTTTTTTTTAAATGCGTGTATTATTGAAAATTTAAATAAAAATCCAGACGCATTTATAATTTATTAATTGGCAATCGACCAAATAAGTCTTCAGCGTTTTGGATTTTTGATTTAATTTTATCCTCCAACCAACGCCCATTTAAATCCAGTTGCATCAGTTTGAGAAGGGAGACGTGGTGCGCGTCGTCGTTTGACGGGACGTGTTGTCCTGTCAAGCGTGTTCATTCCTCTCTGGCCGATTTATCAGCCGAAGAAGAGGGCCGTGCCAATGTAATGTATTTCTCAAAATAAATGCGCCAGCTCGGCGCGGCCAAATTGAATCTTTCCGCGCCACTGGGGCGGAATCTCCCTGCGTGCAGAAACCCCTTTTGCTTTGAACTGCAGCAGCGGCTTTCTTGCGTACAATGCAATGCATTGTTCGGTTCGATTTTTGAGGGCCGAGAGTGGAAATTAGTGTTGACACATGCGGGCATCGACCACAGAGAGCAGCGGCACAAAAGCGGTTTTATATATGCGACGTTAATCTCCTTATTTAAAGTCTCTCTTATTGTACGCATCAAAATATTATACATTAGGCAGACGCATTCACGCACAAGCAAGGTGACAGCTCACGAAATTACGGTGCGCCGCCGATCGTTATCTTATATGAATTTTTCTTCCTCCGGCTTATACGGCTTGATACGTCTTAAGCGAGAGATCATTAAGTCTAATTCTCGGAAGAGGTGTCGGAATTTTTTCTATTTGGAAGGACGAGATGGCGAGATAGGAAAAGTAGTGACCAAGGAGATGTCACCGAGGTAGTAAATTCACTCGCTTGACAGTGTTGTTTATCGTCAAAGGGAAAAAAGGCTATCGCGGATCGGAGGTCCAAGAAAAACAAAAATGAAAACGATGGATGCATTCTTGGAAATGGCTAAAGTTTAGCAATAACAGGCACCAAGCCATGATTTTTAAAATACTGCAGTGCAGGTAATGACAACCACAAAATAGATTCAGATTTCACAGATAACCTTTATAATTTTTAGTTTTCTTTTCAAAATTGCATCTCACCACAAATTGAAAGTGCATTTAATTTAATTTCATATAATTATATTGCAAGTACCATATAGAAAGTAAAGAATCTCAGTTAGAAAAGAGTTATTATAATAATTTCATACTTAAATTTACAAGTTGCATTAATTCTATTACAACCATTACAACTACAATAAATATGGTGATTTAAATTGAATTTAAATCAGCTTTTCCTCGATGGGTTTCTGTGAGTTGTTTATTGTTTAAGAAAAACAATATCCTGCTCTACATGTTTCGGCTGCAGCCATAATTCATGAGCTGTGAAATAGCTTTGACAAGAATTAGAACAAAAATCAATCTTTCAAAAATATTTTTCTTTTCAAATTAACAATTTTTTTGTGAAAAACTCTTTTACACAAAACAATTTTTAACACAAAATTCGAAAAACAAACGCGAAAAATTAATATTTATGATTATTTTTGTCGTGATATTGAAACATGTGTTTTGAGCGTACCTTTATCGGCTGCACTTGAAACATGTATACATATTGTTTTTTCGTAAACAATAAAAAAACTCACAAAACTCATCAAGCCGATTTTAAATTCAAATCACTAATCCTTGATCGTGAAATTCTACCACAGAATTACAATAAAATAAATATATCTATAATTACCTTGATTGAAATTTATTTGAAATGATTTAAATCTTGGCACACTTAGTGTTTCATAAAATTTTACTATAAACATTTATTACCTTGCAAAAATTTACACATTTCAAACCATACAAAAACTTTACAAATAGGTCCTTAGGCCCAGTTCAGATTTCAATGATGAAGTTGACAGTGGCAAAATTTATATATATATTATATATAATAAAATCTTATTATTTAATTAAAATAAATATATAAGTGTTTATGTGCATTTAAAATAGTATTAAGCATGTTTTAAAATAAATAAAATCAAATAAATGTATTGGAAAATTAACAAAGTTTAGCAAAAATGAAAGATATTAATGACAAATATAATTTAATTATTAATAATATTTTTTTTAAAGTTGTTAATTTTTGGTTTTTAAGATTTTATTTTGCTGCTGATAGTTGAATTTTATGACAATATATTTATCAATTTCATACTTTAGGATATTTCAATATTCAATTTTGAAGATTTTAAATTATATTTGGCAAACTGACCTGTTGAAGACGCCCAGGCGACGGCATTGCCTAAGCAGGCGACGCAAAGAAGCAGCGCCAACAGCCGACTCTGCGCCATTTGGGACGTCTTATGTGGCTCTTCTTCTCATTGCATTCGCAAGGGTCCTGCAAACAACACAAAACACAAGTTAATTTCGCTCCACAACTTTTTATGTATTCTAAAAAAAAAGCAGGCGCTCACTTTTAATGCGGCCTTTGCAAAGTAAATTGAAAACAATTTCGCTTTTTTGGGTCAAAAGGGTCTCCCGCGGGAGTCCGTGCAAAATTCGTGCAAAAGGGCATCGCAATCATCGATCCAAATTATCCGGTGAAATTGCTTGTCCGTATGGAACAGAGGGAGCATTGTCTTTTTAAATAAGGAGGAAAATATACACGGCGAGCCCCGCGGCGGTGCGAGCGAGAGAGGCGCGCATTATAGGCGAATAAAGGTGGATCGTTTTTGTAATTTTATTTTATACCCAGCAGACTGCCATTGTATTTGCATTTGAATCTGCCTCAAAACACACCTCTCGTCTCGACCCTCCCGACTCAAGAAAAAGAAAGAAAGGCCAAAGGGACGTGATCACGGCATTTCCGAGAAAGAAAAACAAAAAGCCGCGGGGTGCATTAAATATCCCTGATGATCGTCGATGGGTTATAATGACGATGCCTCTAATGACAGAGTGCCGAGCCAGAGACAAAAAAATGCCCGCGTCCATTGTGCCGCGCGGCGTCAAATTACCTTTCCCGCTTCATAAAGCGCGCGCAGAGACCGACAAAATTTTTCGTCAAAGTCACACAAGCAAGAACCATCAGGCTGCGCTCATGGCATGTGATGCGAGCCATAGAGAGTTCGTCGAGGTAATTTGGGGAAATTATACAACGTCGACGGCTGGAAATGACAGCCGTTTCAAACAATGTGCCGAGCGCGGATATTAAACGTGGGATAATGCGCGAGCGACCGACTCTGCAGGTGAATTCTCATCGCAGTGAATCAATAGAGATCCAAACTGAATTTTGGGACCATAGATTGAAAATTGTTATTGAACGGATAAATAACTAATTCCATCCAAATAATGTTTCAACAAAACCTTTTTTTGTAATTTATGAAGATTTAAAAAATATGTAAATATAAATATTACATATTTTGCATAATTTAAAAAAATACATACTTAATAAAAACTTCATAAAATATTTGTTTATTTGTTTTTAATTGTTATTTTTGTTATTAATGAAAATAATTAAAATATTTATTTTACAAAATAAAATTAAATCCGGCTAATTTTGCTGCACAGTGTATAATTTTCACAATTTTTATATTTAATTATATTTATCTTGCTTAAAAAAATAATTATTAATTATTCAGTTGACTCATTAGATCTAAAGATGAAAATTTCATTCAAAAAATGTATATCTTCAAAGGGCAAACTTTTGTAAAATTGATGAGTCAGAATTAATTCAGTCATAACACTGTGCATGCTCATGACGGTTTCTGCGCTTTCGTCGTTTCATTTAGCGGCCGCTCTTAATTGTCGGCGCTAATTTGCTCGAATAAAAGTAAAGTGCATCGTTTAGCGAGCAACTAAACTGCCGCCAGTTTAAACTTCCCATGCATTTTATATATTCGTTCGCCCAGATAAACTTATATTAATGTTGTCAGACCAGGCGCAATTCGAGCTCGATCGCACGCGCAACAAAGGACGTTTATAAGAGAGGGTGTAGTTGTTGTTGTTAAGGTGAGTGCGGGGGTGGATTTATGAGCGTCGCCAATGAAAATGCGACCTCGCCTCATTGTCTGTAGCTCGTATTTTTATATATATTTCCAGCACGAGTAAGCAAGGCGTCACGCCGAGTTAAAAAAGAAAGAATCCAGCGCAAAATTTATATGCCAAAGGCGAGACGCATGCGGAGTGCAGGAGAGATTTATTTTGTAAATATAAATGTGACGCCGGTTTCAAGTACCCCCTCATATAGAGTTTCCTCTTTCTGCTTGAATTTTTTTATCTTGAAAAGTGCAATGCAGCGTGTCATTCTTATATATATTTTTACCAGGAAAAAAATAGTGCACCAGCGTCTCTCGTCACATTCGAGTCGTAAAAAGCCGCAAAGCGTTAGTTTTTTTTTTGTGAAAAGTAGATTTTCTCTCTCTAGTTCCAAAGTTATGGCCAACATGTGTGTGCAGACTCGTCGAACCCCCGCCGCATTGCTCCCCATATGGATGTGTTAATTTTAATGAAGGCCAGAAACAAGACGCTAGAAAAACACTCATTACCGCGCGCCCCATGGGGGCTTTCCGTGGAATTCTCTTTTCAGCAATAAAATCCCTGCCAACCGAAAATTAACATTCTTGGCGCTTCTAATTTCGCCTCGTGTATATTATTGTTTGGTAACCTATATTTGGGCAGGCAAAAAGCGGCCGGGCGACCTTTTTGTGCGCATTAATTAAATGGTAATCACGCGCTAGGTTTTTGCCCGCACTCCCTAGCTTTTTGTTATTCGAGAGGAAATAATATCAGCACAATTTTCTCTCGCGTCGGGCTGAAATTTTCAAGTGGGCCCTCTTGAAACGCGGCCGTAAAAAAGCGACCTTTTTAAGAGCGCCCAGCGTTCCACGAAAGCTACTCCGGCCACACTCGAGGCGAAATAAATATTCTGTGCGTCTGCTGCAGAGATGCTGTAATTTCGAGTGATCATTATTTTCTCACACGAGACGATGTCCCTTTCTGATGATGGTTCACTCTTCTATAGGTAGCAATCACGCAATCCAAATAAGTATATGTATAAAGCCATTTTGCCTCGTCACCAAAAAATTAAAGGAGCTCGTACGTTGTTATAAAATCTTTTTAAATGCAATCACCAAATTGCAGCAGAAACACTTCTTACTTGCTCACTCGGCGCGGGTTAGAATTAAGAGTTGAGTGAATGAGTTTGGCCTGAGCTTTTTACTTTTTCATTAGTTTTTTTTTCTTTTAGCCCAGTATAGAGAAGAGATGATGATGATGATGAGGCAAAGTGAATTACTCTCAGTCCCTCTAGTTTGTTTTTAACGAGCCGGACCGTTTTGTCGCTCTGCTGCTGGAGAAAAAAGAAGCTGCCGAAGAAAATTACTCCTCTCCGGAGGGGGAGTTCGATTTTCTGGCGCTGGGCAGATGTTGTCCGGCCGCGCCGTTTTGCTCAGGTAGAGGAGAAAAATCCTCTGCTCTTTATCGGCCGCCAGCATCACTGATTTCTGCTCCGCCAAAATATGTTTGTAAGAAAAGATGTGGAGAGCAGAAAAGAGCATCTGCGAAAGAGAGATGCTGAGAGCAAATCACGGAAGAATGGGTTTCTCGGTGCGTATTTTACGTGCAGCGCGCATCTCCGTCGCAAGATGACGGAAAAGGAATAATCCGGTAAAGGGATGCGCCGAATTATAAATTACGGAAGCGGAAAATGAATGGAAGCGAAAAAAGACGGCGGACGACTCGAGAAATTCAAAGGCGGAGAAAATCTTTCTGAGTGAAAAAATTATTTTACTAATCCACCGTAAAAAGCTGATATTTTTATTTAATTGTTCATTTTAAGTTACAATAAACATGAAAAATGGTTTGGAATCCACATTTAAAATTTTAAAATGTTTATTGGGAATAAATGCAATTTAAATTTTGATAAAAATTCTTATTTTTCACCAATCTTAATAATACGTTTCCTTTTTTTTCTGAAGGGTCCTGTCTAGTGTCTGTTGAATGGAAACGAGATTATTAAAGAAACATTCCTCCCTCTTCTTTCTTTAATCTTATTCTATTCTAGTTTAAGGAGAATGAGAATCTCATCTTGTACGTCTCCCCGAAACGCCCCCCGAAGAGAAAATTACAGCGGGGGGATGAGCGACTGCGGTTTTAGATTGCGCCGCGAGATAAACAAACAAATAAAGCGCAGCGAGTTTCGCATCTCTAGGAGGCGGCGGCGGCGGCGCATGTGTGTCGTGGCGCCTGTCAAATCAACCGAATTTACTTTGGCGGAGAACTAGAAACTCCTTTCTGCTCCCTTTCCGCCAGCATCGAATGCGACGGCAGATGACAAAATAAGCACGCGGCGGGTCTTTTGCTTTTGACATTTTTCTGCATCTTCTCTCTGCTACAGTTGAAAATAAACAGTCCTCCGGCTATGCGCTCTGGAAAAAGCCCAGGATTCCACCAATAACTTATTTTCGGTACATTTCGAGACTTACGACCGCAACCTATACAAGAGTCACGCGGAGTCGTGAGAGATGCTGGGCACGATTTATATGCGCACGTTTCTCTTTTAATTGTCACGTCAGCTGTAAATAGTGTCACTTCGCTCTCAAATGAGGATGTTGTTTGTATAAACATCATGGCCTCTTCGAGGGAAGGATATTCTTGGCAGCCGGCACCAAAACAATCGAACGGAATATCAGGGTGCTTAAGCTAAGGATTTTCACTCGAGAAATAAGCTAGGCTGCGGATTTTAAAAGATTTATCTGCCTCTCATACATCTTCATTGCAGAATTCTCTCTTTGTGAGCCTTTTTTGTTAAAAATATAAATAGTTTTTGAAAAAAAATATGCGTTTTTTTTAAATATTTGATATTTATCATGATTATTTAAATTTTGTGAAAAATTTAAACCGGGCGAAACTCGTTGCAAAGGAAAAATGACACAAATTAAAATATAAAAAGAAATAGAGGTCTGCTGACCACAAAAGGTGACCTGCGGTCTGCTGGTACTTTTAAAAGTTTTAGTTTTGTCGTATCCAAACTAAAACTTTTAAGTGGGATGAATTCATAAAAAGTTAAAAATGAAAGGGGGAGAATTTAATTTCAATAAACAAAAATTGCAAAAATTAATTAAACAAAGGAGTCAGTCAACAACTTCATACTGTGATTTTGCCAGATATTTCCAGGGCAATCGAACCCGGAGATTTTATTTCTTTTTCCTCTTCTTTTTTTCTTTGCAAAAAGATAGGATCGCCTGGTTTCAATAGTCCACCTCAATAAGTGTTATCATTCAATTTAGATTTTGTTTAATATATTTTTATGCCTGATATATGAACAATCATTCTCAATTCGTTGAATTGAATTTTTAACCATATAATTATATCAATTGAAGCTAATGTGAAATCTCCAAA